CTGTTTCAGTGTGTTAGGTTGTTATTAATGTTAAATACACCTGTTTCAGTGTGTTAGGTTGTTATTAATGTTAAATACACCTGTTTCAGTGTGTTAGGTTGTTATTAATGTGAGATATTTCTGTGTTAATGTCATTTCAGTGACTGGGATGAGTCCTCTGTCCCCTTACCTCAATGTCGACCCTCGTTACCTGGTGCAGGTAAGCTGCAGCTAAAAGGCATTTTGGCTGTTTTTTTACGACGGAGTATAAAGAGAATAAAGTCGTAATATTATCAGAATAAAGTAGTAGTTTTATGAAAACTGTTGACTCAGCGAACAAAATCGAAGCTTTTTTCTCATTAAAACAACTTTATTCTTGTAACATTACAACTTTATTCTCGTAATATTATGACTTTATTCTCGTAATTTCCCAAAAAATTAAAATCTTAGTCCCTAATACTGCGTTGTAGTTTTTGGTGTAATTTCTTGGTGTTTTTCTGACTAACAGCTGTTGATGTTGTGTTTTAGGACACAGATGAGTTCATCCTCCCCACAGGTGCCAATAAAACGAGAGGGAGATTTGAACTGGCTTTCTTTACCATTGGAGGATCCTGTATGACTGGTAAGACCCACTCAACAGCTGGGACAACATCATAATGGGATATACCTGAACTTACAGTTAACAGAGTTTTGTTTGTTTGTTTGTTTGTTTGTTACAAGGTAAAATTGTGAAACTTGTAGTCAGAATTAGGATACTATACTTAAAAAATGTGACTAAATCTTTATCTAAATCTCTAAATAGTACGCTTCCAACTTTGTGGCCACAGTTTTGGGATGTCCCTCTCCTTTTATAATGTGACAGCCCCCTAATGCTCAAAGCCAGCTGTAAAGAGAGGTTTGAAATGACGTGAGCGGTCTGCACAGAGCCTTGACCTCGTCATCCAAATCCTTTGGGACGAACTGAGACATCAATTGTGAGCCGGGCCTTATTACCCAACGTCAGTGTTGGACCTCACTAATGATTGTGTGGGTGAATGGTAGCAAATCCCGTCTTCCCAGAAGAGTGGAGGCTGTTTTAGCATCAGATTAAGGCTCAAGGTTTTGGCAAATAGTAAACAGCACCTGTAGTATATACAATGGAAATAGCTGAATGTTTAAATTGTTGTTTTGTTTCTGAATGTTACCCTAATGCCTTACTCAGCCTTTTGCCTCTTCGTTTTGATGACAGGAGCAGCATTTGGAACTGTAAATGGTCTCAGGATGGGCCTGAAGGAGACTAGAGACATGGCATGGTCCAAACCTCGTAATGTACAGTAAGTATAGAGACAGTTCACTTTAGTTTACCAGTATTATTAACCCTTATATTAGACCTGTCCTCTAAATGTTTGCTTTCTGTCCCCAGGATCATCAACATGGTGACCAGACAGGGTGCTTCATGGGCCAACACTCTGGGCTCTGTCGGTAAGACCATTATAATGTAACTCAAAAATTCCCTCTCATAATGCTATCATCTTATCATACGCATATTAACTAGTCCCATTATTGAAAGTCATCATGCATTACATTATTTAAATGTATAATATAGGTGTGCTTTTATGGATTTTTAGTTGGGTTTGTTAACTTTAAAGTTCCCCTCTTTTGTGACTCGACCACTGTGTTTTAAGCTGCTTTCGTTGCCTTTTATTAAACTTTGTACGTTTTCCATCGCAGCCTTGTTATATAGTGTTTTTGGTGTGGCGATAGAGAAGGCCAGAGGAGCAGAAGATGACGTCAACACAGTGGCTGCTGGGACGCTAACTGGGATGCTCTTTAAATCAGGCAGTAGGTTTCTTTTCAGCTTGTGTATCTGCCCCTAATGTGTAGTGTACCTCCATCGGTTATTGACCTCAATTTAAGAGTACTTCCAGATGAATTACAATGAGGTGAAGATAACTGGATTTTATTATTGTCTCTCCAAATAAGATATAAATGAACGATGACTTTAATCTTGCTGAACGATCACAGCATGCAGAGTCACTAGAATTTTGGATGTCAAATACCTCATAGGACATTAGATTGCAACAAATGATCATTATTTATCAACCTGGGGATTATTTATTTTATGTGTCAGTTAATTTGTGAAATTCATAACATCCTCCCAGGGCTGTAGGTTAAGTCTTCAGATAGCTGTTTTTATTTGACCAACAATCCCAATTTCCAAAGATATTCAGTTAACAGTGATATAAAACAGAAAAGCATCAAATCCTCATATTTCAGAAACTTTTTGGCCTTTTTGCTTTTTAAATGCCTTAAGCAATACATTTATCATTAAAATCTGATTACATTTCTGTAAATTGACTAATTGACCCATTGATTGACCAATAAAACCTATATAAATACAAATATTGTTACATGATATCAACATTATGTTGTAATAATGATTGCAGTACTGATTTCACCACCTCTGTATTTGTATTTGTCTCATACTGTGTAAATGTTCATCTTGTATTTTGGGTTCTTTAAAACAAGAATGATTTCCTGGAGTTCCTGTTATACAGATGTTTGTGTTCATACGTACTTTATCACTCATTCTGCTGCTGCTGTGTGTTTGCAGGTGGCATAAAGGCCGTAGCGCGAGGAGGTCTGGTTGGTTTAGCCTTGTCTGGGGCCTACGCTCTCTACAACAACTGGGACCACATCACCGGCTCCTCCTCGTCATCCTCTAGGCTGTACTAATGTCTCCCACACACATCTGCTTCCACATTGGGGCCAAATATCTCTCCTGGGCACAGCCTTTAACCACAGCACTAAGAGGAATTAGACTCTGGTCAAATGCAGTGTGCTTCTGTCCCAGTTCGCTGGGTCAACCCCCCCACCCCCCCTCCATAGCCACTTTCCTTTCCAGGAGCATTCTGGGAATTTAAAGATGTGTTTGAAAAAGAAGATGTGAAAATGCGGACTAAATTTCACTAGGAATCCAGATGTTGACCGTCCTTTAACACCCGTCTCTTCGTATGTCTTTATCTTCTGAGGTATTCCTTTCACTGATCTGATCAGTGGTGAGACGACCCTGCGAGGATGTTATTATATAGAGGTGTGTTATATGATTGTTTAAAGGAGATTATTATTAGTCTTCATTGATGCTAGTTTTGAAACCAATGAATCCATGAAATTTGGGTTAAATGCGCCAATTTATAAGGTGACATCTGGTGTGTGTGTGTGGCTCACCAGATGAACAGCAGTGGATTTCAGATTTTGGACTAAAAGACTTTTCTGTTGTAGAAGAGCGAAGAGATTTTCATGTACGATCTACAAACACAGAACTAAGCCTTACGATCAGTTCTACTCTTGTATTTATTGAATCCTACCTGCAGTGCTTTCTGTCTTACTGTGCAAAAAGAAATCACTGTAAAGCTGTACTGGAAGTGCGTGCTGTTAATGTGTCTCCATCAAACCAGATATAAAAAACTATAATAAAAAAATGGGAAATATTGACAAAGATTTTGCTTTTTAACCAGTTTTATTGCGACTTTAATGTAGACTGGATGTATAAGTTCATGATTAGGGCTGCACAACTAATCAAAATATGATTGAAAGAAGCTCGAATTATTTTGATTAAGGTCAAATTTGTGACAAAGCAGCATTATGATGAAGTGCTGTAGTGTTGCAGAGATGTGATGGCCTGCAAATCTTGTTCTCCAGATGTAAGAAAACGTTTCATTTTATTCGTTCTTTCACTGAAAATGAAAATTGTGATGCAAAAATTGTCATTCCCACTAACTGTGAATTATATCATAATATCTGTCAAAACAATGGTAATATAACTTGTATAACTCGTACAGCCCGAGTCATGAGTCAGTGTATACTATACTGCACTCTGTCCCAACTTTCTCCTGTTCCAAACCAGAGTAGTGTATAGTGTAGATCGTGAAATACGGTGTGTTGAGACACAATTATCGCACATTCAGAACAAGTATTTACATCTTGAAGGGGTTGTAAGTTCCAGAAACATGCGGGTGGAACATGAAGGAACTGTGGCTCTTAGAAAAAGAACAGTTTGTAGTCATCTGTGGACATTAGACGTAAAACAGAGCGGAGCTTATGTTTGCTGTCGGTGCCGAGTCTGTGGGCCCCCTTTAGTGCAGGAAGAAGTCCCTGATACGTGTTGCCTCGATCCAGGGGATGTAGGCGGCGGTGCGGGTGAAGACGCTGGGTTTGTTCTCAACAGTGCAGCCGATTGGTCCGAAGCTCACCACGCCGTGCACCTCCCAGCGGTCCCGCCCCAGCTGGCACAGCAGAGGGCCACCAGAGTCACCCTGGGAGAGGGAAGAAGCAGAGACATGGGTGGTGAGGAAATTCATGGATAAAATTAATTCTATGTCAAACACCGTCTGTGAATCTCTAATCTCTAACCTGGCACGCAGCAGGCGGGTCCTCTTTGTCTCTGAACCCGGCACAGATCATGGAGTCTCGGACACGATCGCCCCAGAATTTCTTCTGCCTGCAGGTCTTGAAGTCGATGATGGGGAGGCGCGCTTGATTCAGGGCTTCTGCCAGAGATACATTCTCCTTCCCACCTGAAATGTGTTTGAAAACAAAATTTAAGGAATTTAAACTTTATTTAGATTTTTTAGCTACACTGGCGGTGTGATCATTTCTCCAGACTGAAATATCTCCACAACTGTTGGACAGATGGCTGTGATCTTTTGTACAGACGATCCCCTGACTTTCCCTCTTGCACCACCAGAAGGTTGACGTTTCTAATTTAGCTTGAAAACTCTCAACAAATATTGGATGGATCACCATGAAATTTGGCACAGAGTTACTTCCTCTGGCCTTTCACCTAGTGACACCATCACATCACATTTTTTAATTTGTCCACTACTTTGGTTTATGATCAAACTAATGACATTCCCATCATCCTCAGCTGTAGTTTGTGTTTAGCATTCTAAAATGCCAAATTAAGATACCTGCTAAACATCATCACTATAAGCACTGTCAGTGTGACCTTGTTATTGTGGTGGCTTATTATGGAGGCAAAGAAAGGCCATAATAATTTGAATATTAAAAGTTAATTGTGTGATATAAAAGTTAACCACCACTGAACTTAAATATTTTACTTTTGGAATAACTTATTTGTGTTTTTAATTAATTTAACATTTACAGAAGGTCCTCAGGAGCCAAGTTTGAATTTTACCAATCCAGTTTGAGCAACCTTATTTTTTTTTACATGATTTTAATGTTTTTTTATTCAAAAATGAGCAACTTAAAAAAAGGTTTTTGCATATTGAACTCTGTGAACCCTAAACATCAAGTTTTTTTTTGCACAACTTGAAGCCACATAAATGTATTTTTCAAAGTAAAATATGCAAAGTAATTCAAATCACTGTCATGATTAAATTTCATAATTAGGCATTCAGTTGCTTCAGATTTAAATGATGACCTTTCTTTGCTCCCATAATTTTAGCATTTAGCTCAGCTTTTCCAATATGTCTATAGACTCGTTGGCCAATAGTTGACCTTCTCCACAGCCTTTCCCCTTCCTCTCTTTATCCCCTCTTTCCTCCACTCACCCCGGGTGTCTCCCCAGCCTGTGACCCAGCAGTAGTGTCCCGGGCTGAGGCTGGTCATCTTGCGCGGCAGGCAGGCGTAGCGGATGAAGTTTGAAGGGTTGATGTCTGTGCCAGCCTTCACCAGGGCGATGTCGTAGTCCAGCTCGCTGTGGGCCGGGTAACGGAAGTTCTCGTGCCGGTAGATTCTCTTCACGGGGAAAATCCTCTCTGCTGTCTCCGAGCGCCTCAGCTGGTGTTTCCCCAGGACGATCCTCCAGCTCCCAGCATCCTCTGCTTTACCCCTGAGGGAGCAAAAACAGAATAGTTCATGGTTAAAGTGAGGCCTTCATGTGTTTTCTTTTTCCACCACTTGTTTTTTGTGAGAAGTTTCTTACTTTTGGAAGCAGTGAGCTGCAGTAAGAACCCAGGTCTTGTGGATGAGAGTTCCTCCACAGACATGAATGTAATGTTTACTTCCTCTGGGACGAACCTGTGAGAGAAAACAGCCACCTCAGTGATGTTTTGACCTAATTTTCCTAACAACTCTCTCACCTTACCCCTTAAATATTACTCACATACACTACATGAGACAGAGACGTTCACCAACCACAGTGCTCTTTTATGGTCGTGGTTTCCAACCTTTTTCTATCATTGAGTAAACTGACGGCTGACCAAGTGACATATTTTATGGATATTTTATATTATATTCAATGCATAACAATAACAGAAGAGTTACTTAACTGTACAATAAACCCAAATACTGCAGGACGTTTGTTTAAAACAAGCGATTTTGATTAATTTTGAGCAGATTATTTCTTGTGAATATTTATCAGAGATCTGATATTTTTAGGAACTTTTTATACAATTAAATCCGTATGTGTGTATTTTTTTTTTTGCAATCAATTTAATTTAGTTTTCTTCACAAAAATAAATAAAATGCAGGAGAGATTTTCCAACACCCTTTAAAATCAAGAAAGACCTTGTAATTATTATTGTATTATACCTACAATTATATTTTATTCTAGTATATTTTCTTATTTAAAAAAGTTTTGGCCTTAAAAATCCTGTATTGTTCAAAGTAGCATATAATCATACATATATGTGCTTTTCTAATGAGATTATGGGATATTAATGAGATTACTGCCTCTGCTGGTCGAATTCATTTGTTCCCTTTCTAGGTGTGTTGTCTCTATCTTGTGTAGTGGTCCAAAATATGGATAGAGACGGTGAGAAATAAAGACACAACTGCACTCAGATTATGATGATGTTAACAGGCAGAGGAATAACCAACTCTCTTATGTTTAATGTAAACATCATACAGCCAGTAGGTGATGTTAGCCTGCCATCCCTCCTCTCATCCCCCGAGTACTGAGGATATCGACCTTAAACCGATAAATTATTGAGAATTATTCAGTTTAGACAGAGAGTTTATATTTTATATTTTCCACTTTTCTCACTGAACTTTTTATTTCATTTTTCTAAAAACACTTTATTTTAAGATACAGCCATTATTTGACCTAAAATATGTATTATTAGAGTACTTATTTATAATCCCTTCAATTCAGTGTTAAAACTGACAATAAATGTTGAATTGATTTGATTTGATTTGACAGTCAGTTGACTACATACAGATGTTGACACAACTACTAGTCTACTTTTGACCTTTTCTTGAGGACATTTCTCTACATGGACCTCTTTGAATTTTAATTGAGTAACCTTTTAACTACAGCTTATAGCGTGCTACTTAAAGAAATGGTCCTCTCATCACTAGGATATTTCCACTGGACCATCCTCACTGATAAAAATGAACAAATTGCCAAATATATCAAAACCGGGGATACTGGTGTCCATGTTATTTAAATTGAACATCTTTAGTGGTTTGTTGGATCCTGGGAACTTGTAATGGACATTTTTCACTATATTCTGATATTTTATACACTTATAAAGTGTTATAGTTATAGTTAGCATTCGGCTGAGCAAATGTGAATATATGCCTCTAGTTCACAAGTTTTAAGAAGCAGAGGTTCTGAGTGGGCTGCAGCACCCCCAAAAAAATGGCATAATTAAAAACATTATTCATAAAAATGTTTAAATTTATCAGGATTTACATTTACACACTGATATTTATAATATTTAAGTGTTTTTACCTTGTTTTTATCTGCTAAGCTTTGTGTGAAATGTTAATAATAACTAAATAGACTATAAATGATCCTGCCCATTCAAAATTAATGCAAAAACCATGAATGTCATGCATTTAGCCTTTAGTATGATATCATTATATAGACTGACTTTTCTCTCAGCACCCTCAACACCCTAAAATATCAAACCACATCAATACACAGACAGTTTTACCTGCAGAGAGACCTGCCAGGGCCAGGAGTGAGGTCTGGCCTCATTCCCAGACACAATCCTCTCAACCATGTTGGGCTTGAAGTGAGCCATACCACAATCCCTCGGCCAGTCTGGGAGAAGAGAAACACAAATAAGTCCCAAAGAACTAAACAGTTTAACAGGATACTCTGTGTTTGTTGCTGAAGTGTTTGGAGGTGTGTGTTTCTGTAGGATTGTGTATGCTCACCCAGTTGGAGGAGCTTGTGCTGTGGCTGTCGTCCCGGGTTGATTGTGTACGCGGCTGCGGGCAGACATGCCTTGCTCAACAGCAGCGGCAGCAGCAGAGACAGAAGGAGGAGCAGAGGAGGTCCAGGAACAGCCATCGTCTTCCACAGAATCAGCGGCCGGCACACATCCCACGCTATTTATACCAGGCAGCAAACACACGCAGATGTACAGTACATACACAGGTACACATACAGTACACACACACACAAACACACACACACACACACGCACACACAACAGCACACCTCCAGGGACAATGAGCTGTGTCACAACAAAGGCTGAGCGCTGGATTATTCTCCTGTAGCTGTGAGTTTCCACTGCCGCTGAGAAAAAGGGGATTTCGGGGAGTCCCATCAGCACTTTCACATACATATAGTATGCTCACAGGACACCAACATGCACAGGGGACAAAGGCAACACAGCACCGTACACAAACAAACATCATGTCACATGACTTAAAGCAGTGACATAGTGACCTGAAAACTACCTTTATGTCTGATATCAAATCTCCACTGTTGTCCATGCTGTCGAAACATGACTCAGTGGAATGGATGTCGTTACCTGTGTGTTTCTCTGCCCAAAGATGGCTTATATGGGTATTTATACTCCAGAACTAGGGAGTAAGCCAGGCTGGTATCAGCTTGTGACAGATTTATAGGTGTCAGCTTAGATGTTGGCTGATCCAGACTGAAATATCTTGACAACTATGTGATGGTTTGGCATGAAATTTTGCACAGACATTCATGGTGCCCAGAGAATGAATCCTACTGACGTTGGTGATCCCCTGACCTTTCTTCTAGCGGCACCATGAGCTCATCATATGCTTTTAAGTCAAATCTCTCAACACTTATTGGATGGATGACAGGAAAAAGTCCCCCTCAGGATGAATTCTAATACATTTGTGGTCCTCTGGCTTAATCAGGTAAAATAATTTGATTATTAATTAATAATGAATTTCTCCAGTAGTTTATTTTACTAACAACATCAGCCTGAAGTATACTTGACTGGGTTTTTCACTAAGATAATGAGCATGATTAAAACATCACTGTGTTCGCATTGTTACTGTGAGCATGTGTGTCAAAGGACTGTGTGTCAAAGGACTGCCTCACAAAGCTAGCTTGGCTGTAGACTCTTCTTTTTCAACCATAAGATGTGACACATTCAACACATAGCTTGATCACAATTGTTAAAAAAAAACTATTTTAAGGGATCCTCAAAAAGTGTTTTTATGTTGTGTTAAGCCAATATATTGTTTCTCAAACTCTCAATATCAGGAGGCTATAAGCCTCAAAAATCAAATGTAGGCCCATACAAATAATAAAAAAACATATTTTATCACTCTTTTTAATGCATTTTGTAAAAATATTTACAGCTGTGGATGGTTGTCAGTGGAGCTACTCTCTACAGAAGAAATAGTCCCAATAAAAACTGCTGCTGTGGAGCCAGAAACCTTAGAGACGGAGGCCTTAAAGCCCGATCAGATGAAACTAGAAACTAAATCTGTATGGCTGGATACCACAAGAGGTGCAGTGGAAGAATAAATCTTTATTTAATTTAGGTATATTGACCCTTAAAGATCAGAAAACAAGCAACAGAGACCCTCCCTGTCGGCTCTACACACATCTGTGAAAATATGACAACAATAACTGCACTGGAAGCCACTGGTGAGTTGAGCTTTTTTTCAGTGGTGAATGAGAGAGAATGTGCCCGCTCATCTGAATGGCAGCGCCTGAATGGTCAAACCTCACCACTGTGGTTCACTAAGTTTACATACAACTCAACTTTGGGTACGTTTTCCACAGTGAATGAGTTGAGCAACTGCGGGAGGAGGAGGAGGAGGAGGAGTTTAGTTGCTCCGCCTGTGTGTTTTTGAGTTGGTGTTTATTCTTAAACAACACATTCGAGCTGAGTCACCTCTTGTGTAATTATCTGTGTAAATATTTGAGGGAAAATCCTGACATGTGCTTACATAACACTTCCTTTATTTGTCAGCTGTAGTGAGGAGGAGATTTTGCCTGGTGCTTATGTCCAACAGAAGAATATGTCGTCTCAGGGTGAAATAACTTCAAAGATTTAATGGAAAAAGGAAAAAAAACTCAAGGAACTTGAAAAGTGTGCAACAAAAAGTGCATAAATAGGTTATTTACTTACAGAAAAGTACAAATTTATGAGCTAAATTCACTTAAAATATTAAAAGTAAAGCATTGATTTTGCTTTTCACAATCTTATATTGTTATTATGATATTATTTTAATATTGACTGCCGTGGAGCGACTTTAAATACAGTCCATCATACTTTATAAACATATTATGTTTATTTACACATATGTTTTGTCTTAAGTAATTAAGGTAAACTTTTAAATAAATGTTAAACATCTATTTACTTTTGTACATTTTAAATGTACAATATCTTCCACTGAAATGTAGTGAAGTAAACCTAATATAGCAGTATCTTTGTACTATATGGCCGATAAGTAACGAGAAGTTGCAGTACAAAAATTCTGAAGAGGTTTGAGGTCATTTAGAAACAACCACATTTAAAAGATCCATATCAAAAATGTTGGTTAATGTTATGTGTTTATTTTCAAAATAAAACAAGAATATCGGCCAATATGTCGTTACCAGACTCTCAAATATCAATATTAGTAAGTAACATAATATAAAATAGCTTAAAATAGAAATACTCAAAAATACAAGTACAAGTACCTTAAAACTACCCAATAATAATAACAGTAATAATTTTAAACAGACATACAAACATAAAAACAGAATAAACAAGAGAGATACAAAGACAAAATTCGTCAAAAAAGAAAAAGAAAATCAACAACAACATCTACATTAACAAATGTATTACCTCTAGGGAGTTGTCATATTTTTGACTATCATGAAGACCTCACTAGAAATGCAGCTAAACAGCAAATGTGTTTGTTTTCAGAAGTGAGGGGGCACAATAATAAAAGCCCTGACAACCTGAACCTATGCAGCCTGAGAGGCAAAACCCAGAGAAATGAAAGTCATCAGACACTTTTGGAACCATGTAAAGCTGCGAGCAGACTCTAATAATTGAGCTCAGATGAAAATATCAGTATTTTTATCGACTCCTCTCTTTTGTCATCTGCATTATGGCGGCTGGACAATAAGAGGAAGAAGTTAAGAGAGAAAGAAAGTCAACCTAAAAGTATTAAAGTGATCCAGGTCTTTCTCAAATGGGGAGAGCCGTACCCCTAGCAATACTTTGGAGTACTGCAAGGGAGTACGTAAGATGTTTTTTTAATAAATATATTTATTGTAAAAAATATTGGTCGTGCATATATCCTAAAATAATTCTACTATAATAAGTTCAAATAAAAAAATTAAATATCAGTTCAATAAACCACATTTTATATTCTTCTCAAAATCTTTTCAAAGCCTCTGGAAAAGGGTTTGATCCCTGTTGTTGCCACAGAGAAAAAATGACAAGCAAGGCATGGCATGCAAAAGTGTAACTTATCAAAAAGACACAGTTCAATGCAACTTGGTGTTATTGCATGATGACAAAGACATTTGTTTTCCATGAATTTAGTGATTGATTCAACATTTTAAATGTAGCATTGAAGTGTTTTTCAGTCACAGACCAAACATTTTTTGTGCTCAGGGGGTATTACTTAAAATATTTCAAAGTGGGTACATAAATGAAAAGAGTTTGAGAACCTCTGGTCTAGATAAATCGACATTAAAGTGAAAACTGCTTCCAGTGTCTCTCTGAACTTCATTCAGAGTTTATTTGTGGTGCTTTAGTGCAAACTGAATCAGCTATGGATAATCAATACACCAATCAGAGCCGTTAGATTGCTCTCCAGGATCAGTCATTTACTTTTCTGGAGCCTCCACACCACCCAGGCCTCTTCAGTGTCTTGATCACACTCTTCTTGCGGCTCTGTGCACTCCCACGCGAGGGTGACTTCGGATGGCTGGTGCCTTCCTCTCTGTACACCTCATCTTCTTCTTTTGCATTTTCTCCCTCTGCCCTGCTTATTCTACAAGCAGCTTCTACCGTTTCCTCCTTTTTGTCTCGTCCTTCCTCCACCTCCTGACCTCTGTCTGCTGTCTCCTGCGTCTCCTTACTCTCCCCCTCCACCGCACAAGTCGACGTATTAGTCATGGCAGGTGGATTAAGGTCTGGGGCCATGACTTTCACCATGTGCGATATGAGAGGAGGTTTTGGTGCTTTCTTCTTCTTCGAGGAACGTCTCTGAGGTCGAGGGCTGTTCTGGAGTTCCAGATGTTTCTGTATGGCTGTGGTCAGAACCCCCGGGTCCAGAATTGCTCCATGAACGTCCCACGTCATCCCGTCCTCGTCCCACTGCACCTGCTTCATGCTGCTCCTCCTCCCCAGTTCATCCCTGTCCTCCCCATGGGTCTTCAGACACGACCTCCTCCTGTCCAGATCGTGCGAGGAGGCAGAGTTCCACGTCTGCTCGCCTCCCCTTTTCTCCTCCTCCTCTTCGCTGCTCACAGGGAACATGCTGGAGGACGGAGACACCAGATTGGAGTTGGACCCCACTGAGGACTTAAGATTCAGTCTTGATCCAGGCGGCGAGCCCAGGATGGAGTGGGAGCCCATGTTGGAGGTAGACATTTTCCTGTTGAGGGTCCACAAGGAGCCGTTAGGAGAGACTGTCTGCACCGCTGCGTCTACCAGTTCCCGCCGTGAAGTCATTGTGCCTTCCTCCCTGAACCCCTCAACGTTTGGGGCCTTTGTGATGCCCTGTCTAGTGTTCAGGTTGCACCTGCAGCAGTTACCCAATTGTGAGTCACTCACAGATGAAACCAGGGGTGACCTACAACCTTGGTCTGTCTGCCATGGCAGCTCAAGATAGCAAACTGAAGCTCCTTTTCCAGATTTTTGTCCCTCTGCCTGAGGACTAGGTGTCAGGTAGCTTAACATTTGCACTGGGCTTTCCACTCCTCCACCCTCTGATAACTGTGCGCCTGCAGGACTGTGTAGCTCTTCTATCACGTCATCAGCAAGGCATCCAGGATCTGATGATGCACCTCCTTCTGCTAAGCTAACAGACGACGGGATTGGGGAAGGGAACGTAAAAGAAAGCAACTTATTTTCCAGGAAGCCCTCATCCTCTGTGCTGGTGAGCTGGGGGAGATTGGGGGAATTGGGTGGCAAGGGTGAGGAGGTGTGAGCTTGCAGGGGTGACAGCAGTGGAGAGGGTTGGGGCAAGGACACAAGTGAGTCTTTCTGCTGATTTGTGCTCAGCGTTTGCAGGGAAGAAGAAGAAGAAGAAAGATCTTCAGGTGGTAAAGTTGGTGTCTGCAGGGGGGAGATGAAAGGAGAGGGTGTGGTTGGTGGAGAGGTTGTTTTGGACAAGGGAGAGTCTGGTGCAGCAGAGAAAGAACTTTCCTGGATTAGACTCGAGGGGCGTGAGATCCCGTCTTTCCATATAATTGTATCTGGAGTGCTGCTGCGACTGTGCGTGCTGCTACTCCAGCGCTGCATGTTGGCGATCCAGCGCTCGCTGAGGGCAGGAGGGTTGTGCACGTCCACGTTTTGAGCTGTGAGTGACAACTGGTGGCTATTGGTGGCGTTGATCTGCTGCCACATGTGAGGGTGCCGCTGCTGGAGTGTCAGTGAGTTCTGCTCAGTGTGTGTGTTGGTGCTGGAGCTGCGTCTGAGGTCCGTTCTGGCCCAGGCCAGGTTCCGCTTGTGCGGTGGCCCTGTCACCATGACCACATCCATGGAGCTCTTAGAGAGGGAGAAGATGGGTGCGCAATCATCCTCATCCTCCAGTCCCACCTTCCCAGCGTCACTGGAGAAAGAGATCGACTGACTGTCTGAATAACACACTGGCTGGTAGCTCTCAGACGCAGGGCGCCCGGGCCTCGCCATGGCAACGGCACCTGCCTGCAAATAAAGACACATCTTTGAGTGTTTAATTTCTCTTTTATTTTATTTGCTTCTTATTTACACATCCAGTACTTACAGAGCAACATTATCATTTATGGAGTTGTGTTTCTGATTACCTGGTGAATATAAGTCCAATATTCACTCCCATAGCTCTGTTTTTAGTCTCTAGCAACTCCTGAGGTAAATATTTGGCTTCTTAGCTAAATGCTCCACTATGTTCACCAGCTGGTCGCCAACTGTGTCTGTCTGCAGGTGGTCCCGGGCAGGTAGAGCACAGCATGTTTTGAGATCCGCCAAGAGAGCGGTGACAGTAAAGTTTTGGGCCAAACAGTTTAACAATTACCTGAAACTCACTGTAAAGATCCATAAAGCACATTATTTATTGTTATTACAAAAATATCAAATATAATAAGCATTTTTAAAGCAATATTTACAAAAATATACGCAAAATACGCTTGACAGCAATCTCATATGGCTCTGTTTGATATAAAGCTACAGCCAGCAGCCGGCTAGCTTAGCTTAGTTTAACATTAATACTGGAAACAATGGAAACAGCTAGCCTGGTGTCTTGTTGTCACTGGAGACTCACGGTCACTGCACCCATGAAACAGTCTCGCATATAACCCCCTGTAAGGCTGTAAAGTTGCTGCTAGCTCAAGCTCCATATTTATGAGAATGAGTTTAATCCTCTCCTCTGAGAGAAGAACGCGTATCAGCGCATTTTCCCAAAGTGTCTGAACTATTCCTTTAATCTTTTCTTTATTTCTGACTCCGTAACCCAGTTGGTGCACGCACACACGCCCACACATTCACAGGCACTCCCAGATTATCCTAATGGGATTACACAATCCAGATTATTTGATTATTGAGACAAAATACAGATTAATCGAGACAGTTTAAGAGAGTATTTGGCCTTCAATTGACAGAAGCCAAAGAAGCAAAAGAGACAAAGAAAGGGAGAGACACTGAGAATAGATGGTAGAGGTTATAATAAATTACATTTTTTTTTTTCTCTTATCTTCCAACAAAGCCTGTACTCATGCCGTGGCTAATTTTAATTCATCTGTGTATTTATGCTCATTAAAGCACATAATTCCAGTTATTCAGCCTTTCTCTTATTGAAAATCAGTGCTGCATTAACTTATTTAGTAGCACAAACAAATGAATTGACCCATATTAATGTTAAACCCATCTCTGTCCCAAACTGACCTAGCAGTATTTAGATCACAACTGACCCGCAGATATCCACACAGCCTCATAATTGATCTGTACTGGAAGAATAATCACCCAGTTGATCCACGTGAACGGCCGTCCAATTACAATAATACAGAGATAAAAGAGAAAAGTAACATCTTACCTATAAATTAGCAGCTTGTGTCCTGTTTTGGCCTCTGCCCTGTCACAGAGCAGGTAGTGCTAAATGGCGTCTCTCCCTCCTCCTCCCCCTCAATTCTTAAGAAAATCACCCTCCTTGTTTCCAGCCGCCCTCACAGCCTCAAACACACACTCCTCTGTGTCTTCAGCTTAATCTTCTTGTTCCTCTGTCTCTTGTAACTGGACCTCATATGAACTTGGCATCAGAGGGAACATGTTTGTGATGTGTCCTTGTGCGTGTGTGTAAAAGAGAGGGCCATTACTCTACCTTTAGCTCTGAGGATTAGCTGTCATCTCATTAGCTGTTGTCCAATCTCTGAACCGAGTGTGTGTCTGTGTGTGTCTGTGTGTGTGTGTGTGTGTGTGTGTGAAACAACGTTGGTTGGATGAGAGGCTAATGAGTATTTTGATTCTGAGTGATTTTGATTCAGATCAGCTGTCAGGGCAGTCATATTACATGTGCATTATATAATTATTTACATGCGTGTTGTTGTTAGCTCTGTGAGGCTGTGCTTTGAACTACATGCTAACATCAGCGTGCTAACATGCTCACAATGACAATTATCATGCTCCCAGTCCCTCCAAGAGTTCGCTGGCTTTTTTGGGGGGATTGTTGCGGCCTAAAATGCCTGATTTTAAAGCAGCGTTTCTAAAAAACTGCCATGATGTGCTGTTGCCATGAGGCATTTTTTGCAATTAAATTGTGGGAGGGCGTTTATTTAATGGACATTGTATTAAAATTAAAGAATCAATTAAACAGCTAGTTTGGTGACGTATGGATCATCGTTTTTCACGGGAAGCCAACAGCTGTCTAGAACTTGTGGTTCTCAACCTTTTAGAGTTGTGAACCCCCTCAGGTTGGTATTCACGACCGACCCCCACATGTAACACATGAAAACTACTAAACTACCACACAGGAGGACGATTGCTTTGCCCACATTATTTTATTTAAATAATGGCACCTTCACTGTCAACATGTCTGCTTTAGGACTAAAAGCATAATAATAAAATGCATTCTCATATTACTGAGGTAACTGGCTCTGTAAACATGTATAAAAACAGAGTATATAGCTTAAAGTATGCTGTGTTTTTGAGTTCTTCTCCCCTGTGTTGAATGTCATTAAAAGGATGACATCGCTAAGAGCTGAGAGCTGTTTCTCTATTTGCCACTGGTCTAGAAAGCCTAAAACACAACAGCGTGGTTTGCAAATGGTTCTCTGTAACGTGAAATATATGTGATTTGCGATTGGGTTAAAACATCCTATATAAGTGGTCTGCTCCTTTAAAGGGGGTAGCTGCCAACCGAAAAGCCAGATAACAGCATGAAATGGTGAGAATCAGCCAGCTGTGTCGCACTCTCTCCACTCTCCACGGTCACTAAAACACTTCACACACCACTAAACAGGTCAACTACAGTCACAGTCAGCCTGAGTGAAAGCTGACCAGAAGAAAAGACCTACCCCACTACCTTAATGACAGGTAAGTAAACCGCATTAGACTCAATCTCTGCCATGTACATTTCCTTCCTAATGTGTGTGTTTGTTCAGACCAGGTGTTACGGTTGGCTGTTGGTCTGTCTGTGGGCCTCCTGTTGCTGCTTCTGCTGGGTCTGATGGTGTACTACCTGTGGAGGAAGAGGAAGAGTCAGAGTCAGTACGAGGAGCTGCTCCCTACAGTGCCTTTAGTCCCAGCATGCTCTGCTCCGGTGATCCTGGTGTCTCAGGGCTCCTGGGCCACGTTAGTACCATTAAAAACCTTCATGCACACAGTCCTACATAGTGCTTTTATTTAGTATTCATGTAGAATTGTGGAATATTTTACAAGAGTTATATTTCTCCGTTTATTATTCCCTTTTTTATTATATAGTGTACAGTAGAGAGCTAACAGGAAGCATACACATAACGAGCATACAGGAAGACTCTAAGCAGGTCTTATGAGGCAAGGCCATTTAGAGCTTATAGACAAGACCCTTAAGGTCGATTAAGTGCATACTTGAAGCCAATGTAGTTAAAGATAGATGTGCTATGTTTTATTTAAAAAAAACTCTGAAGTATAAATATCAAGTCATTTGTGATAGTACCAACATCATATGCAACATGTTAAAACTTCTAAAAATAAAAAGCTAAAGAGTGAACCTCTTAGTGAAGAACAGCGTTCGTTCATCAGGGTTTTTAAAGACCTGTTGTCTTGAGTTTAAGCAAGGTGTGAAATCAATAACTTGATATTTAAAATGCTGCTGAAAGCGCAATTAATAACATATTTCTCCCTGTGTGAAAGGCCCAGTGAGATCCCGTTCACCTTGCCTCCTCGCTTTATGCCACAAATTCATGGTGACTTGAAAAATGAGGAGGAGAAAGAAGAGGAGGAGATTAAGATGGAGGCTCGGAAGGACATACTAGCCCATCGGGGGTCACTCTCAGTAAGCAGTAGGTCATTACTGCCTTTATTTGACTGCATGTGAAGAAAGTTATGGTGAAATTCAAGGGGCTCCCTGGTAGCCCACCTAGTAGAACTAGTGACCCATGTAACAAGGCCTTGCTGAATCTGTTCTGTGGCCCTTTGCTGCATCCTCCTCTCTCTCCCCCTTTCCGAAATATATATATGTATATGTATATGTATATATACATATATATATATATATATATATAAAATCAAAAAAATAAAAGATTAAAAAAGATAAATCCTACATATTTCCCAACAAATCCTCACAACCTGTCTCCATCAGGATGGTTCCCAGTGGGGACGGTGCTGGCTGGTCTCTACTCTGTCCCTCCTCTGAACGAGGTGGTGGCCCCTCCACCCGGCATGGCCACCCGCCTCTGCTTCTCTGTTGAGTATCGACACAGCAGCGAGCAGCTCATGGTCTCTTTGCTCCGCCTCGGAAACCTACCTCCCCGTTTCCACGGCAACGTCACGCTGGTGGAGCTCCGGCGTCTCCCTGATGACCGGCGGCCCCGCCAGGCCAAGGCCCGGGGCACGGGGCCTGACCCGGAGTTCAACGATTGCTTCGTTTTCCAGGCAAGGACATGGAAGTTTACAGAAGTTTTAAGACTACTGAGACGATACAAACAGTATTTGATTAAATGTACTTAGTTACTTTCATGCAGTCTGTTTCATGGGGTTTTCAACTTCGGGGTTAGGACCCCCACTAGGTGCCAGGCCTTCTTGATTTTAAGGTGTGATACAAAACTAAATATACACAGAAGGCCTTTATCTCAGTGTTCAATTCTGTGAAGAAAAGTAAATATTAAGTAAATTGTAAAGTAAAAAAACAATGGCCAGTTTAGCAAGCCTAGTTAAAGTTAAGTTAAAAATGATTAAAATTATTAAAAAATACATATTACAGACAGAAAATTGTATAAAAAATAAAAATATTGTGTTCCTGTCTGTCTCACACACTTTCTGTATGTGTCCTCCACAGGTGTCAGGAGTGTGCGTGCCTCAGAGCACCCTGAGTGTGTGTGTGCTGAGTGTGGAGCAGGACGGCAAACGCCACGCGGTGGGCAGGGTGCTGTTTCCTCTGGAGGGGGAGCTCGGTCAGGCCGGCAGGGTGCTCTGGAGGGACCTGGAGACGGAGGACGACACACAGGTACAGATACACATAGGAACACACAGGAACACACACATGCACGTGGTCATAAACGCTCATAATCATTCTGTCGCCTCTGTTTTCTCTCAGTGTTCAGAGCTGGGTGATGTGCAGATCTCTCTCAGCTACAGTCCGTCTCTGCAGCGCCTCTCTGTGGTGGTTCTGAGGGCTCGAGGCCTACAGCTGCTCACAGACGCAGGTATGCAAAGTCTGAGCTGAAGATAGTGGGGTAACCTTACTAACATTGGTAACACAGCATCTGTGTCCTTCCCAGGTGTGTGTGTCCAGGTGAGCTTACAGATACACACTCAGGTGGTGAAGATCAAGCGCAGCTGTGTGGCGAAATGTGAAAACGACCCATATTTCAACCACAGGATGACCTTTAAACTCCGCTCGCAGCACCTGGACGAGGCCTGTCTGAGGTTTGAGCTGCAGCAGCCGAACGACTTCCGCTCAGGTGAAACAGTCAATTTATAATATTTTATTTTAAGTTAGGGGATGTTTGCCAATTAGTGATGAATCTCTAATGACTAATTGTTTGGTTACCACGTGTCCTTTGTTAGTCTCAAAATGGTATTTTGGATGTCAATGTAGACATATTTTTCAGCCTCATGGCTCGAAACTCTTTCTGACGTCTTCCAGGAAAGAGCATAAATAAAAATTTTGAGTGTCAGAAGTTCAGGAGTGAGATCATTTAAGCTTGCGGGGTATTAAGTAATTTTAATATAAATGTATAAACTCAAAAATGTATGATGGTAAAGTCAAAGCAACAGTTGTTCCTTATTCCTGACTATCTGATAAAATGCACATCGTAAACATCAGTATTAGTTTTTATTCAGCTCTGTGTGTTTCGCTCTCCCAGAGCCTCCGGCCGTGCTGGGAGTGCTGGTGTTGGGTCCCTTCATGTACGCCAGGGGCCAGCAGCTCCAGCACTGGATGGACATGGTCAACACACCGCAGGAGCCGGTCAAACTGTGGCACGGGCTGGGCAGGGCTACTTAACACCCAAAACACACACACACACACACACACACACACACACACACACAATGTTTATATATGTATACACAAAGTTTGAAATCATTGTACAGCTACAGACTACCACAGTTTTTTCATGTGGTCTAAAATAAAACTTCTTCTCACATTTTTGACATTATTTCTAGAGTCATTACTTTTAATCTAGAACCAGATCCTTTAATAATCACACTTAGCTCAGAATCTCTTTTTTTCTTATTTCCTAATCACAGCAAAAAGGAACTACACTCAGATATAGAAATAAATATTACATTAATGTGTCTACAAGTCTTAATTAATACCCTACATCGATACTTCTTTTATTTCTTATTGTTATCACTGGTTAAAAGTGTTAAAGGATAATTTTATAACAAATTCTTTGTTAAACTGAACAGCAAATAAATTAATATCATCTGTATGTGAGTGTTAATAAAAGTTTGTTTAAAACAGATTTCAGTTTCATTCAACTTTATTGTCATTTAACACAATGTGCAGCCACATATGTAAATGAAACAGTGCAAATGTACAACTTGATAAATGAGGTTATATAATAAAACTGTGGAAATGTAATTGTAAACATGTCTGTAGTGCAAGAGCACAGCTGTATTGAAAGACTGTGCAAAAGGCATGTAAATAAGAAATGGCAGTAGTCTATAGGTCTGTGCAAATAATATTTAAATATGTCAGTATTTAGTGCAAGAGAGTTTTAGTAGAGTTCACCAGGTAAGCAGGTAAATATGGGTCACAGCCAAGAGGAAGAAACTGTTTTTGAGCCTGGTTGTATGGGATCTGACACTCCTGTACCGCCTCCCAGAGGGCAGAGGGAGACAGGCTGTATGATACATTTTTTTGTTTTTTGTTCTATATTTTTGGGAGCTTTTGCCCTTTATTAGATAGAACCACTAAAGATAGACGGGAAAGGGGAGGATACTTCTACCAGGTGATCAGGACCCAATAAATCTCTTTAATGGCTGAGAGCTGGGTACTGGTGGAGATATGCTGCCACGATACAGGAACCATTAAATAAGATGGCAGAATTTGAAAGAAACTGGGAATGCTGGAAGAATTTAGTTATAATAAAACACAGTAAAGACATGGTTTATATTTCAGAATCAGAAATACTTTCATAATCCCAGGGGGAAATTATTTTTGTTACAAGACTCCAGGTATACAAACAACATATATTATACAAGCAACATCTATTAAGAACAAAATATAAATATATATATATATATATAAAACTATATATATAAAAGATATATAAAAGATCAAATTTACAGTTTAATAATGTGCAAAAAGTGATTGTCCGTGTTTGTGTCAGATTACAGAAGGGGGTTGTCGACTCTCTTAGGGAAGGCGTTATTAGAGTTTAATGACCAACAGGCAGGATATGATTCCTGTTGGTGGCATTCTGGGTGAGAGGAAGTCTTCTGCTGATAGGAGCTCTCTGCTGGGCAGTGTGTCGTAGAGAGGGTGTGAAACACGTGTTCCAATATGGACTTTGAATCCTGGACAGCATCCTCCTCTCTGCCACAAATAAATAAACATATTTAATATATATATATAATAAACATATTTGACAGCCTCTGCAGGATTACACTTTCTGGGAGCTGGGTGACAATCAATCCTTTTTAAAGTGTTTATATTACTTTATTTCTGTTTAAAATATATTGTATTACGTGTATGCCTATATCTACATCTAATTGTGCATTTTAATAAAGAACTTTTAGGATATTCAGAAGAAAATCAAAGTCTCTTGTTGTTGTCCAGCAGGAGGCGACTACCACCTTTCTGTGAGTGAGCGCAGCCGCAGTTCGACCCACCGAGAGACCATGAGGAAGTGTGTGTGAGGAGTTGAAGCGTCGTGTTGTTGTGTTTACTTTCATTATCAGTGATATTAGTGGATTCTATCTGCTTTGTCATGAAGATAAATGAGAACACTTTACTGGAGGGACATAAAGTCGTGCTCGTGCCTTATAATGCGGACCACGTGCCCAGGTAACACCAGTCACCTGAGAGCATCACTGTTTATTTCATTCACTTTATTTAGCCTCTTTTTTTTATGTAAATCATTCATTTGTTCCTCCGCTGATGTCTTCTTGTTATCAGAATTTAAAAATGTGTCCTTATTATTCGACTTTAATGGTTAAATGTGGATAAATAACCAATCAAATTAGATGTGAAATCAGTTTAATATCATTTTTAATCATCGTTTTTCATTCATAGGGGCCCAGTCAGCATGAAGGTAGGCTATTAAAAAGTCCCATTTTGCCATTTAAACCGTAGATCATGTATTGATGGTCCCTTAATCAGCCATCAGTGGTAAAAGTGGGGCTGATTTTAACTACTTTATATACTTTAAATACTTATACTTACTTAATTCATCATTGTTTAATATGTTGTCTATTATTAATCTGTATCTGCAAAGTAACACGTAGTTACAAAGGTCTGAGTAAAAATCTAATAATCTAATCTGAGTAAAATAAGCTTTTATGCAACCAGAACAGTGAGATCTGCATTCATCAGCCCCTGTAACATCCAACCTTAGCCTCTGAAAGATAGTGGAGGAAAGAAGTAAGCAGCAGAAAATAGAAATACTCAAAGTTCAAGTACCTTAAGATTGTAATTAAGTACATTTTAGCTCTGCTACAGGTGACACTGACATAGACTGCATGAGTGTAACTAAATAAATTTACTGATTGCTAATTGTTTTTAAGAACAAATTTGAGGTACTTGTACTTTACTTAAATCTTTTCTTTTCATGCCACTTTCTACTTTTACTCCACTACAATTGTCTGACAGCTTTAGTAACTAGTTACTTTTTTTTTCTGCTGGAGTAGACAACAGAGTTTGACTTGTTCAGCCATGTTTGTTTTAGTTTTCTATGAATTTACCCAGAATTCATAGCAAATGAGGTCCCTTAAAGACAGTCAAGAACCAGCTGAAGTCACTATCACGTAGATCTAAGTCATAGTCAGAGTCTGTCTTTGTTAAAGGTCCAGTGTGAAGGATTTAGGCCTCGCTTCACCCTCCCCTACGGTGGCTGCATGTTCCTCTTTAACTGGCCAAGCAGAAGCTGTGAATCAGAGACCAGCGTCAGTCCTTTCTCTGTCTTTTATATCCACCTGTTTCAGGTATCACGAGTGGATGAAGTCTCCTGAGCTGCAGCAGCTGACCGCCTCAGAGCCTCTGACCCTGGAGCAGGAGTACGACATGCAGAGGAGCTGGAGGGAAGATAGCGACAGTAAGGAGTGATTTGCCTGCAATGTGCTCACAGAAAATAACACTTTCAGTGCTTATAAAAGCCCTTTTTTAGATATAAAGTGTTGTTTTTATTGCTACAGATCAGCCAGCATGTATTAACAGACAGTCTTCATCAGCTTTCCATGTTTAACGCGACAGTTAATCTTTAAAAGCTTTTATTTGTTTGCTCGTAGCTTTTGCAGATAACTAAAATAAGAGATTATCCTGATGTCTTGCACATGTAAAATATCAACGTTTACTTAAAGAAAAGCTATTATAACATTTGTTTATTCTATCTTTCCAGAGTGCACATTCATCATCCTGGACAAGCAGCGGTGGGCGGACACCGGTGTAGAAGAGGAGCAGTGCATGGTGGGAGATGTCAACATCTTCCTGACTGACCCCACAGATCCGTCCGTGGCTGAGTTGGAGATCATGATAGCAGGTGACGCCCAACTTATTTGTGTTAAAAATTCTTCAAAAGCAACATTATATAAAACTAAAGAAACTAATAAAATCACTACAGATATATTTTTCTTTCCCTAAAACTTTTAACGTTTCTTGTTTTTGAGCAGAGCCCAGTTACAGAGGGAAGGGCATCGGGAAAGAGGTGACACTCATGATGATGTGCTACGGTGAGCAGCTTGTACAATGTGTCTGAAGATTTCTTTTTGCTTGAAATTCTTTATTTTGGGACAGTTTATATAAGAAAACAGAAGTCAGGACGACCATAGTTTCATTTCTTCTGCCATCCACAGATGTTTACAGCATTGAAAAAATCAGCTGACAAAAGACGTTCAGGAGGGTTCGTAACATGACCTGCTGCTAAAGCTAAAGCAGCTTGTTTCTCTGATAACTTAAGATCCAGATGTCCAGTGACTAAAATCCTTCAACCGGTTTAAATATAGAGGTAAAAACAACCAAGATTGAAAATGTTTATTGTTGAAATGTGGCTTATAACTGGATAAAAACTAAATTTATAACAGCTTCTAGCAGACAATCAAGCGGATATGACGCCATTGCACCGTTACCTGAATAAAATGACTCTGGGTTCAGGGTTCGAACATTTGAACATTGGGATAATGTTAATACACATCTCAACAAAATATATAACATAGGTCTAGTGTCTATAGACATTTTAATGCGGAAATGTTATTATTATATCATTTAATGGTGACTCACATACGGCAGAGAGCTGCTGCTGTGGAGTAAACTCTGGTTACAGTGTGTGAATATTAGTTTGTGAGCGGTGGTGATCAGTGTGTTGGCTTCCACCAGGTGTCACCAAACTTGGGCTCAAAAAGTTTCAAGCGAAAATTGGGCTGGACAACCAGGTCAGCATCGCCATGTTCAAGAAACTCCACTTCCAGGAGGTAATAAGATCACATTTTCTTATAGTATGAGAGGCCTGACTGACCCAGAGTGAATCTAACCATCATCCTCGTGTCTGTTGCAGGCGTCGGTGTGTAAAGTGTTCAAAGAGGTGACCCTCGAGATGACGGTGGACGAGTCAGTTCGCACGAGGCTGCTGGACGACATGGCGGATGTGAAGGAGCGAGACTACAGACAGACCTGCAGCAACAGACAGGAGCTGGTTTCATAGTGAAGAGCTAAAGACTTCCAGCTGTGAAGGAAATCATTCTGCACACAGAACTCTGAAGCTGAACACTGGTGTGTGGTTTAGACTTGTACCCCTGTAAGCTGTAACACCAGAATACTTTATTACTGCAGAGATGGGAAGTAACTTTTACTCAAGCCTAAGTGCAGTTTTTAGGTATCAAGGAATGAGAGGAATGTATTTATCATCATTCATCACAGGGTTGTATAAGACACATATAAAAAGATCATTAAATTCAATAACATATAATAAACAATAATAACCAATATGTACAGTTATTTATATACATATAGACATACACGTATACACATTTACTTTGCGTCTGGTTGAATGTAAACCGAAGCAATAAGATAGTGATGATAATGTGGTTTCATCTTCACATTAAAAGAAACAGTTTCCATACAGTTTGACTGCGTTTGAGCACCAAGAGTCCGCCTCCTCTCGTCGCTGGTTCTTTTTTCTGTTCTTTATTATACGTTTTTACTTCCACTTCCTCTTGCAGCTCCCACCCAGAATGCCCCAGAGCTTCCATTAAATTGGCTTTTTCTGTGTCCAGACTAACCGCTTTTCTCTGAAGCATTTGTAGTGGTCTCTGATGCTGAGACCACTACACTACAGTAGAAACATAGAAACATCCGGTGGTTTCTGGTGGAAGTGGTTAATTCAATTTGGTTTGACATCCAATTGAATCCTCAAACAACCTTGATGAACTATACATCCATTGAAAACAAAAAACCTCTTGATTCGATCTGTACAAACCTTTTTAAGATCCCAATATCGCTGCGACCACAGATACTTGTTTTGTAGCAGCATTAGAATTTTAAAAAATAGAAACATATACATGCAAAAGGCAAGTTTGTGCCTCTCACTCACTTAGACTGATTATGAATTTTTGGTTGTAAACTGCACAAAAGCCGGGTGCTTATTAAGAGGTTAATAATTTTATCTTTAAACCTCAAGTGCAGAAATTGACACGGAATAAAAAATAATGGAGGAAAGAGTCACGTTTACAACCAATAAAGACTTGAGTGAAACACATCTCTTGTACATTACAACAAACATATTCGTCTCATGTTCCTCCCTAATTGCCACATTAGCGTTGCTGCATTTCTCATAATTTTATCGCTCAGAAACGGAAGGCCGGTGGTCGAGATCAAATACCAAATGCAGTAGCTTTAACGCATTTGATATTGCGACTCAAATGTGAAATGGAAGGATATAATTCTACTTGTATCCTGTCAAACCTCAGTGTGCCATTCGCTTGTGATTTTAATGTTTTTAAGAGAAAGATGGTTATTTGAGGCATCCAGTATGTAGTTTACTTATTGAATGATAACTTTACTGAGGCGGTCAAAATTAGATTACCATGGTTGTGTTAGCATTTAGCTCCAAGAATAACTTAACTGTAGGATCTTGTTTTGTTAAACAACCATTATTTAACAAAAGAACGATAACTAATAATGTTATTTGCTAGATTAATATTTATTTTGTGTCCCCTCTCACTTCCAAGACACCAAAACCTTGAAATCACCTTTAATTTAAATTCCAGGAGTTTAATATCCTATTTATTGCAGATGTTTTTGTGTGTTTTTTTTGGTCCTAAAGTGACAAACGTAAAAAAACGAGGTAAACGAGGTAAAAAAGTCATGAATTCTGATATGACTGTTCACACTGAAGTGACATTGCAAAAATTAGACCTGTATCTGATTTGAACCTCATATTAAAGTCAATCAGCACTGAAAAGATCAGATTACATGTGATTTGTGCTGTTCACTCGTGTCTGCAGTGTGAACGTAACCGTAGTTAGAAGAATTATCTTACATTCCTATGATGCAACGCTTTTTGCTGTTTAGCAGTTCTAGAAACATGAATCCACCCACAGCAATTTCCCACAAATGTGTTCATAACTTTCCTTGTTGCGGGTTACCCAGAATTCTCTGTCGCTTGAATATTTCTCTAATTTTCATCCTCACTTTAACTTCCCTCTGCTACAAGTTTCAGATTCCCAGCTCCATGTTATTATACAGTACAAATTAGAGGAAGGTCTCATCAGACTAATGGGGATTGTGGTCGCTGGCTCTTACAGACGTATCATATTAACATCTCAGGAACTCCTTCGCATTATGTTTGAGGTTTTCACTATGGAAGTCAAATATATGGTTAAACGGATGATCAGGAAATGGATATCATGCATTATGTAAATAGATTTCTGGTAATCTGGATTTTAGCTCTATAGCTGTTATGTGATTTCATTATTCTTTATTCTTTAGTAGCAGTTCTGGAACCATCAATCATGATATGATTAAAAAGCTCCAGAGTAGCTACTAAATTGACCTTGTGGTGGCAGTGTTTAAAAGTTAAAATTGCGATGAAGTCCAAATAAGCAGATTATTAATGTTTAAGCTTTAAAAAACTGTGTTGCCAAGAATAAGTGAAACTTAAAAAAGCATATAATTTACTCACAGTTTAGACTGCGAGATTAATTAATAAAAAATGATCACTTTCTTTGCTAAACACCCAGCAGCTGCTAACTTAGCTTAGCATAAAGACGAAGAGCAAGGGGAAACAGCTTGCATGGCCCTATGAAGGCAAAAAAAACTCCCTAACAACACCTGTGAAGCTAATCAACATCTCGTTCGTTTGTCTGTATAAAGACTGGAAACTAGCCTAGCTGTTTCCAGTCTTTATGCTAAGCTAAGCTAACCAGCTGACGGTAACATACATGAGAGTGGTATCAAACTTCTCATCAAACTCTCAGTAAGCATATTTTCCAAAATCTAACATTGAGTATTCAAAAACGCCAAGTACTGAAAATTTAACACTAAATGCCAGGTTCGATTTTAGTTCTGTTTCCTTATCCTTTAATCAAATATTTCTTAATTTAAATAATATTTTGGATACTTTTAAGCTCTATTTAAGTTATTTTTCTGCGTTAAGGCAAAATTAAAGACAGAATTAAACAAGTATTGTATTGGCACCAGTGAAAAAAGAAAAGGTAATGTTTATAAAAATACCTTAGTAGTAAGAGACAAATAAATAAATAAATAAACTGAGGTTCCTCTGGCTTGTTCTAGTGCTCCTAATGGTATTTGGAAAAATTCATTCACAATCATAATTATATTCACCATTATTCTTCTGCTACAAAAACAGACACAAAGCTCACATATTTCTTGCAGTGCATAGCCTTTTATTTAGACGCTGACCATGTTTGAGCATGAACAAAGCTGTACAAGACCCACAGCAGCAAAGCTCGTTTAAATTTTTGCATGAAGACCCTCTGAGAAATTAAAATTGCTTTTTTTTGTTGCAAGTCACCAGTCAAACTGAAAGAACCTTTCATTTCTATTATTCACATTATAGACGAGAGATTACAAGAAAAAACTCAAACTTTGGACTGAGTTCAATATCAACACGTCCTTATTTAGGATTTAGGGATTATAAATTACAGTTAAGTTAACAAGTGTAATCACGGCACTCTTTAAAAAAAAAGGACCATACCACTGTTTTTACAAGTGATGCAACGTGTGTACTTTATATTACAACCAACCTTTTTTAGTGTTTTGGTATTTTTCCTACCTTCTGTCCGTGCAGTATTAAAAATCAACTAGCAGACTCTTGAAACTTGGTACAGGTGTGAAATCTATCCAACAATCACAGTCTGCGTATATCTCTGTTATCATATTGGATATTATTTGTGTGTGATAAACCTGTTAAAGTGCAGATTTAAGTTGAAATTTTACAGTAATTTCACTTTAAAACACAAATCACAGCAGACTTTATGTTTACTGTGATGGATTAAACATCTTTAAGAGTCTTCAAGAGTTACTTTTCAGACTTTACATAAATTAATGGAAACCAACAAGTGGAGGGAAAGTAGGTAAAATACATCCAAAGGTCTAAAACACAATAGCATGAAGTGTAATATGCATATTTGTTGGTATGGTCCTTTTAATGCAGTTTGTGCACTGGGAGGGTGTGTGACTGATACTGGAGGTCAATACAGATATCAGTTATTTTCGGCCCATATTAGTTTTTTAACTAGCTGAAACAATTAGTCAATTAATAAGTTATTCTGAAGAAAATTATATCTGTAAATCAATTAATCATTAACAGTAGTGTATGAAGCGGACATTTTGCTCTCCGGTGGACAAACGATATAAAACGACACTGTTTCCAAATTACCTCAGACACATCTTTGGCATTTCTGTACTGGGACTCATCAGTTATTAGCCAGATACCGTTATTTATATCTGGGATTAAATAAGATATAAATCCACTCACGTATCAGTTGGGTTTGCATGCCAGACGGCGTGTTTGTGTGTTAGCTGTGAGATTTACTGATGTGAGACTATAGATGAGTGAGTTCTACATTCACACAGCCGTCACTGCACATGCTCAGACATCTAACACTGGCTGATGCACAATTCTGACTGGCAGTTAACATGTGACACTCCAGAGCAGCACAGACGTGCCCACCTGACCTGACCTCTCAAATACGACCCATGATCCATGTAATGCACCGGAAACACAGAGCGGCTCCGGGTTCTGGTCACAGTGTGAAACATGGTCAACAGGGAGACATTTAAGATGTTTTTTTTAGGTTTTTTTTTCTTAAAAACAGGCTGTAGTACAAAGAGGGTACAAGAGCGACAACAATTCCATAGGAATTTAAGATGATTTTAACACATCTGTCCATCCCCCTCCCTCATCTATCTGTACAGACTCTTCACCTCCCAGCACCTCAAACAGGGTGAGGGGATGCAGGGTTGCCCCATCTTAATGAGATTCAATGATTTCAGCATATTAAAATAAAAATCCCAGAATTTTCGCAAGTAGGAGTGGAAAACCTGCAGCTCTGGAAGTTTGATGGAGGAGGCGGATGATAGTTTTAGTTCTTAGACGCTTGCGTGGATTCGAGGAACTCCCTCGCTGCAGTCGACAGGTTTTGCACCAGCTGCCTGACCACGACCTCCTGCTCTTTGGCCCAGGATAGGCCGTCGTCCACGGCGACGTTGACCGGCACGCACATGGCTTCCCTCTGCAGGTCGGTCAGTTGGCAGGCAGCGGCGACTCCGGCCAATCCCAGTAGCAGCAGGAGGAGAAGCTTAAACATCAGGCCGATGAGAGAACGTCGAGGTTTAGGCGCCGATTCCACAACAGCCTTTTTATCTGATGAGATGAAGCGAGAATAAGCGACATTAGAACGAAACGGGAAC